CACAATGCCGAAAGTATGAGGATCGATCTCACTACTCAGTCGCAATAGTTCTGATCGAGACAAGCTTGCTAACCATTACACTACCTAGAGATAAAAATGAGAAGAAAATAAGACAAGACGAAGTCTCACCAAATATATATAGTCAATTGAGTGTGTCCTCGAGTTGTGGTTTCAAAAATTAGGAACCTAAGAAGAAGGTAATTCCGACAATTTATATCTAAAAAAAAGGCCTGTTTGAAGCTTTGTACTTCACCAAAGACTTCGTAAATATAACACCTGAACAAATGGACACAATTTTACATTGCCGAAAATCAATTTTATTCCATAATGGAGAAGCTTTGATTAAAAATTAAAAAAGGACATCTTCGATGTACCACAAGCTTCGTTTGATAGTGATGAGGTTTCAGAATTAATAGGCCTACATATTTTATATGAAATCAACAAAATTGTACATATAAACAACCACGGCCTGTATTGGTAGGACGGAATGATGATAGTGACAGACAAGAGAAAGACAAATGACAATATAAGAAAAGCGCTTTTCAAACTCTTCAAAAGCCTCGACTTTGAAATAGAAGTTGGTATGAATACGATAATTGTCAAATATTTGGATGTAGAATTAAATCTACAAACTGGCAGTGTCTCCCCATACATAAAACACAACTCAAAATTAAAATACGTGAATGTTAGATTCAACCACCCTGCGAATATAATAAAGAAAATCCTCAAAGGAATAGTGTCCAGGTTATGTAGAAATTCTTCTAGTAAAATAATTTTCGAAGATAAAAAGAAAGAATATGAAAGGACTTTAAAACAAGAGTGGGATTTAAACCTCAGATAAAACAATAAATGAAAAACAACTAGAGGAAAAGAAAAAATATTATTTGGTTTAACCCCCCTTTTAACTTAGAGCTCACTTATAAGATAGGGAAATATTTTTCAAAATACTTAATAAACACTTCCCCAAAAATTCCGAATTAAATAAAATATTTAATAGAAACGCAGTTAAATTAAGATACAGTTGTGTTAGTAATTTAGAAAACACAATAAAAAGACAAAACGCTAGAAATTTCGAAATTAATGTGAAACAAAACATTATTAACAGTAATATATGCAATTGTAGAAATAAAATCAGATGTCCATTAGATGGAGTTTGCAAAACTGAAGCAGCAATTTACAAAGCAGACGTAATATATACAAATGGGCAGAAAAAAATATACATAGGGTGAACTGAGGGTAACTTTAAAAAGAGGTGATACAATCATAAGTCATCTTTTAAACTAGAAAGCCTTAGAAATTCTACTAAACAAGCCTAACTTGTGTGTGTAAATTAAAGATGAAAAATAAAAAAAATCCGATTGTAAATTGGAAAATTGAAAATAAAAGCTAAACCTTGCAACAATCATAGCAACATCTGCAATCTTTTTCAACAAGAGGAATTAGCTATAATAACATTTCCAGACGAAAAAAAAAAACTTTTAAACTAGGGAGCGGAAATTATGTCCGGCTGTATTCATTCTATATATATATATATATATATATATATATATATATATATATATATCTCTCTCTCTCTCTCTCTCTCTCTCTCTCTATATATATATATATATATATATATATATATATATATATATATATATATATATATATATATATATATATATATACACCAGAGATTGGAAATTATGTCCCGTTGTTCCTTTTAAGTTCATTTGAAGTGGGATAAAAAAGAACATGTGTGTATTTCATTTAATCCTCCACCGATACATTTCTAATAAACTTGATTTTCCCCTCCTCCTCCTTCTCCTCCTCCTCACCCTCTACCACACCTCACGTCATGCACTTATTCATTTTTTTTATAGTGTTCATAAATTTTTTATTAAAAAAAAGCGTTAGGAAATCAATTGCTCGAAATCGCCGGAAAATACCGAAAGGTTGAAACCAAGGTAGTGAAATCGGCTGATCTCCTAATTTTATATATATGAAAAGACAAAAATTAGTTTTATTATTACCACTCATGATAATAAAGTAATAGAGTAAATTGTATAATAAAAAAAAATAACAATGGACAAAGTTTATTGTTTATTGCTTTTTTTATTATATAATTTACTCTATTTACCTCGATTTAGCTCTGTTGAACGAGGTACGAAACCGGTTAGCTAGTCCGTTTTTCATTTTTACTTTTTATTATCATGAGCGGTAATAATAAAACTAATTTTGTCTATTCATAACAGTGATATATATATATATATATATATATATATATATATATATATATATATATATATATATATATATATATATATATATATATATGGAGGAGAGAGATAGATAGATGGACAGATAGATAGGTGTGTATATAGGTGTTTTTAGTTATTGTAAATACTGTATTCAATAATTTTTATTTGTTTCATAGATTAAATTTCTGCCTGAGTAAATTCTCATGTCATTATTAATCGGACTGAAAATTGATTTGTATTTTACATTAATTTCATTGATCTGATCGATGTTTCGAACTGTTTTGTATCATTTTCCTTTTCAGTTTTTTGTTCTATTTCATTTGGAAAAGACACTTTCAACAATAAACACTTCTTGTTTCAACGGTAATTTTGCTTTTTTTTATAAAAAATAAAATAACATAGCAATCGAAACTGTTGTTCGTTTTCACTAATCTTCAGTCTTAGAGTCAATAAACAAAAATACACAAATTTTTACATTTTAAAAAACTTAACCCGATATTAAAGTTTTTGACACTGAAAAGAAAAGCTATATTTTGAATGAATTAAAACTAATATATTTGTAAGTGCACACTTTTAAACGTTATCTTCTTTTATGTGAAAAGTCTTTTCAACGCATTAACAATCATGACTCTCCACAGATTCTTCTTTTCCTTGCTTTAAGTAACTTTTTACATTTTACTATCCATCTTTCTCCCTTGTTGCTTCCCTTACTTCTGTTACTTTCAATATATTCTCTGTCTATTAAATTCTCCTGGTCACTTTCCTCAGTATACTTCCTAGAAATTCTAACTGTATATTTCCTGCTATACCTATTTCCCTAAAGACTTCCTCGTTACTCACGTTTTTTTTTTCCATAGCATTTGTAGCTAAAACAACATATCTGTCGCTTCGTCTCTTCTTTAAATGTGAAGAAATTTGTTTAGCATTCACTGTCATATTGGAACCTAGATGCTACGTAGTAGTTCAGTACTCCGTTTTTTGTTTTGTTTTATTTTGTTTCTAACGATATCTTCTTATGTTTTAATATTTTGCTTTATTTCTGAAAGGCATCTTCGCTATTCCTGTGCTCTTTTGAATTTCCGCTTCACATTTTCCGTCGTCTGTTACTACTCTACCCAGATAGTTAAAATTATGTATCTACTTGATTTTAACGTCCCCAGTGCATAGCTTACACTCTTTTGTTGATGACTATGTATGTATTCTCTTTTTACAGTTGGTACTTCCTTCTTGTTTTCCTTTATTACATTGTCTAAGCGTTCTTTCGGATTCCATTCTGAGTCTACAATCAAAGCTGTATCATCCGCGTGCCTTATGTTGTTAAGAATATGTCCGTCGATAATAAATCCTGGTAAGTCATCTTGTTCTCTTAGTATTAATCTGTTATTTCAAGTCAAGTTTAGTGTCGTATCTTAGCAAATCCTTTTATGTAATCTATGATCTTTCTGCATTAATAATGATCCCTCTGATAATATTCTGATCATAAAGAGAGCATTTCCTATTCTAATGTATTGAAAACATCAACAGTTTTCTTGTCCTATCTCCGCTCTAATTCCACTTGGATATCTATTCATTAGAATCCTAACAATAAGTTTACTAATTTCTTTTGGCTGATTATTCAATAGAGTTCTCATTCATTTGCACATAGCTTCTTTGTCATCGCTATGTAGATACATCTATTGAAGTTTTCTGATATTTCGCCGCTGTCATATATTTCAGTTACTATTTCAATCATAGATCATAAATCGATCCCATACAAGGATGCGAACTTCTCTATTGCAATCCCGTCTAGTTCTGTTGCTTTGTTTCTATCCGTTATAGTCAGTGCTGATCATATCATAGATTTTAATATATTATTAGGACCTTCTGTTTTTATCTTTTGTAGGTTTCGCTCCTCTGTTGTCATAGAAGAGGGTTTTTTTTATGTATTCCTCACATTTTCTTAGTATTTTCTCTGTCATAAACATTCCTGTTTTAGACTTTATACATCCAATCAAAAAGTACGTATGATCTGCTATTATTTCTGGTCTTTTTTATGCATGCTTACAATATCTCTGTTCCGTAGTGTTTCGATAAACATTATATTGTTCCAAAATGTATTAATTAACGAAGTTCACATCAAAATATTAACAAAATTAATCAATCTATCCTTAATAACTGAAAGCATGTTGTTCGGAGTTACAGTATTTTTGGTATTATCTAAAAAAAAAAAAAAAAAAAATATAATTAATTGTATCCAAAAAGAAATTATTTAAAGCTATTGCTAATACGTCAGTTTAGCGGTACTAACTTTTCTGGAAAATGAACAGAACTGGCAACGGATGAATGGAAAGAAATTATGTATAAGTTTTGTACATTTTTATGGGATTCCTGATTTAAAATTTCCCCACAAATAGAAAATAAGCATGAATCACTTCTGAGATAAAAGAGGAATTTCTTTGTTTAATCATCGTTTTGAAATCGAAGTTAAGAATAAAATGGAAAAAGCAATTGACTCAAAAAGCAAAAGTGAACCAGTTGAGTCTAATGCTTGCTAGATAGACCTGCAAAACTGTGTAATCAAGTTGTCTCGTATGGCAGACGTGCATCATAGGAATTAATTCAATTGCAATAGCATTGGATGGTTTCTGATACTGAGACATCAGATTCTACTCTGCTAAGTGTTTCACAGACAATGGTTTCTTGGTTGAAGAGTTCATTGCGTATGGCGACGATATGTTGACTACTTGGATTGTTAAAGATTCTAGAAAATCAATAACAGACGTTAGAAATTTTATGGAAAGAAAAGTGTGAGGAAGAAAGAAAGAGAGGAAGAAAGAAGAGGAAGAGAGAAGAGGAAGAGAGATAGAAGCGAGCAGGAGGAATATTGAAATGAAGATAGAGAGAATGAAATGATGAGAAAAAGAAAAAAAGAAGAAAAGCGCGATGAAAGATGAGAAAAGGAATCTAGGAAGAAACTAGAAAATTAAAAAGGAGGGATGTAGAGAAAGGCAGGGAGTGAGGTGGGGGGAGATAGAGAGATGGAAGAAAGTAGGAGAAATTTTGGAAAGAATGTAGAAAGGAAGAAAAGAAGGAAAAAGAAAAAGGAAGAGAGGAGGAGGAGGAGGAAAGATGCAAATATTGTAGAGTGGGGAGGGGGTCAAAAAGGAGGAGGAGGAAAGATGCAAGTATTGTAGAGTGGGGAGGGGGTCAAAAAGGAGGAGGAGGAAAGATGCAAGTGTTGTAGAGTGGGGAGGGGGTCAAAAAGGAGGAGGAGGAAAGATGCAAGTATTGTAGAGTGGGAGGGGGTCAAAAAAGGAGGAGGAGGAAAGATGCAAATATTGTAGAGTGGGAGGGGGTCAAAAGGAGGAGGAGGAAAGATGCAAATATTGTAGAGTGGGGAGGGGGTCAAAAAGGAGGAGGAGGAGGAAATTAATGAAGATACAAAAAAGAGTCGGCAGAATTTCGGGAAAAAGTTGCGTCGAAAGAAAATAATGATGGAGAAAAAAGAAAGAAAAGAAAGAAAAGAAGAATGTATATTGGAGTTGAAGTAAAGGATTAAAAAAAGGAAAAACAGGCAAACCTGTCCGACTTCGTTCGACTAATGTTTATTGTATGAACTGTATTCTGATTTAAACATATTAATCTTACCATTATGAATCCTCCTCCTTGTCTTTCAGTTCCGTAAACTCCACTGCGAAGTAAGGCAGGTTGATTTGACGCTTTCTTTAAAAAATCAACATTGCAATCAGTATGAAAGCTGTGGTTTCATTTGATAAGAACTAAACTCCAAAAACTCGATTCATAACTTTTATCAATTTTTGAGCATCTAGTTTTAAAGCTCATCTGAAAGAATTCTACTGAAATTCCTATCTTCAGCATGTCTTTGCTTACAAACTGACTTCAGAATGTTTACCATTTCAAGAACAAATCCAAATAAAGTTGATATATTTTGTATTATATACACTAAATGGAAAATATATTCAAACCAGAATTCTAATTATGAATCACCACAGGCAAAATATGCATTTTTTTAAATTGTAGTTGATAAGTAAAAACTGCAAAAAAATTGTAAAAGATTACAAAAAAAAAAGGTTGCTCAATGAATAAGATTTGTTAGATCATTTGATAGATCCTAATTAATAAAAACAAAAATTAGTTAAAGGTGTATATAACATCATAATACTACTGGGCACAAATTATAAGACAAAATGTTTTAAATTTGCATTGTTTATTGAAAATCCCACTGACTAAAACTATTGCACTGTATAATATATTACATCTTAATATAGTTAAATTGTTCAGTATAATTTTCGAATTGGAGTAAATGAAAGTCTATTATGATTTAGTAATAATGTTCTTGCGCCAAATACAATTTGTAAAGCTTCAGTAAATTATAAATTTTGCAATGCCGTATTATAAGGCTTTTACTGATCGTCGGAATGAAATTGCAACGCTACGATTTTTAACTTAAACTTAATCTTTAAACTCATTTCCTCAAAAATGGTAGCGATTTGGAAAGAAATATTTGGTGTCATTATTTAACATGTCAAACCCCAACTTTCAAATTAAGTGCAATATCACACTTCCATTATCGACCTTCGATAATGCACAGTTCTTAACAAGACTAGGCGATGCTGCTGCGGCTTCCATAGCAATAAAGTTTTTTTACAGGATGAAGATACTTGCCGCAGGTCCAACCGGTTTTTGTTGCTGATTAGCGTTTAAAGTATTCAGTGTTTCCAAACGATCCCACCTTCCATGTACTGACCGGAAAGGGACGCGGCGTTTAAGTGCAATTTGACCGTCCTGCAAGCATAAATGCCTATGTAAAAAAAAATAAGTAACAGATGATTGCAAATCAAAAAAAAAAAAAATTATTTGTATACCAAAAAATCATTCACAGTGAAGAGAAATTGCTCGAATATTAATTCTGTCTGAATTAATAATAAAATTTGAGTTTTCTTAAGACTTCATTGCAATAACTTAAAATATCGATTCTAGACAATTTTACAAAAATTCACTTAATACTAGTCAGGTTCTTTCTATGCAATGTTTTTGGTGAGCCTTTTGTTTGGAATTTACAGATAAAGATTTCTGCTAATTCCTACACGTGATCGTATTTTTTAACTTTTCATTAGCCCCAGGTTTGACTTAGGTCAAATTTAAATAGCCTACAACATGTCTATCTGCATGACAAGTATGGTTGAAAACCATCTAATTGTTTATGAGCCCATAGCGGACAAACATATAAATTTACAGATGTTCATAACATTCATTGAGATCGATAACTGATGAATGTTACTGAAAAATTCGGAGTTAGATAACTTGTATCATTAGTAATAATGCATGAGATGTTAGATATACCTCAGTAAATTTTAGCAAAAATATTTGAAAACACTTAATAAAATCAGAAAATTATGGAGTTTAGCTTAGGAGCTCTGTGTGCAATATTTAGTTGACCAGACATGAGAGTGCTTAGTACAGATGTCGATAATGGCAGTTTGCGTGATATATAAAAATATAAGTAAAACTTACCTGAAGTTTGTAAGTTGGATAATCTTTCTTCCAAAAAATTTGTTTCCAACTTGCAAGTATTTGTGGCAAATACCTGCAAATATTTACGACTAACTCATACCTGGGAGATATAAAAGGTGGAAATTTTAAAAATTTGATTTTTACTAACAAAATATGTAAATGTTTATGACAAAATAAGAAAGAAGTAAGAAATGAAAATATATTTTTCATAAATATCCTATTTTAATGGGAAAATAAAATCAAAATATATAATATTCTGATTTTATTTCCTCAAGCATTTATTGCAAATAATAATTATCATTCAATTTTTTCTTACGACAAAATCTCTTATTTATTTATTTACATTTACCATTTTGCATAAACATTCGTTTATTTAATTTGTAGTGACTGTTTAATTCAGTAAAATTTCCTTTTTGTGCTTAGATACGAAATATATCTTAAAGAATAAATGAAATAAAAACGTGTTTTAAAATATTTTAAAACTTTTTTTATGCCCTGCATATAATACATTTCATAGCATTGAGTAGATATTTGCAAAACTTTTCTTGAAAATTCGTATTTGTTTTTTCAGACGTACAGTTAAATAATATAAGATTCATGCTTAATTGTGAAGCAGTGACAATTGGAAACTTGTAACAAAACAAGCTAGTTTCGAAAAAAAGGTTTATGATTAGTATTACTAAAAAACTAATTTAAAACAGCACCAGATTAAGGTGTTATTAAATAAAACCTTTCCTGGAGACAGCTGGGTAGAATGTATGCCTCTAATAATAATAATAATAATAACTTTGAAGATTGAAGAAGAACTTTTACGCAATGTGACAATACTTAAATACCTTAAAGATTTCGAAACAAACGAAGTTTTACCACGTTCAACATATAGTCTTTCCCTCACGGACAATCATATTTTTCAGTCTGTGACATAAATTCCTTCCGTAGATGAACCTTCGTTGTTGTTGATGCCATGTATTTTTCCCTCAAAAGCAAAAGAATGGTCTCACCAAGGAATCGAACAACTGAAAAACAATAAAAAAAATAGATTGATCGAAATTGTATTTTGATTTTTGATTTTGAATATGTGTTTTATTTTGTTTTGAAATTGTGTAATGAATTGTTAAAACAATCTTTTTGATATATTCTAATATTTTGTTAAGTTTTTGAAGAAAAGGTAATCATAAAAATGATCACTAAATAATCTACAAAAGGACAAAATTTACAAAAAAAAACTCTGAGACAAAAAGTAGATAAAAATCTTAAATGTCGTCAATTTCAATTTAAAAATATTTCTTACTCGTATCATTTTTTAAGAATAAAAGTTTTATGACATTCAATCTTTTATTTAGGATTAATTCGAATCAACTTGCTGCAATCAGAAACAAATATGACTTCGCTAATTCATCGAAAAGATTAAATATGCTGATTTCCTACAAAAAATGAATGATGGAAAGTATATATTTTTTTTATTCTTGAGAAACAATATCAACTTTGCTGTTAAGTGTTGTTTAGGCTTTCACGTTACGGCAAAATCCGTAAAATAGGATTTGCCAAAAAAGATTTTTAATTTGAAGTGAAAATAAATGGAGAATATGTAGCGCCAAAATAAAATAAACACATCGCTAAAATGAAACAAGTGAATCTTCTAATGGTAAATAAGGAGCCAAGAAACTGAAATCCCGCGGATGGTTTAATGTAATTATTTAATTCATTAACCCAAAATAGTCGGTGAATAAAATCTGATAAATGGTTGTATTTATTGGTTTGAACGAGAATTTCATGCGATTCCTCAATCATAAAATCTTAAATTGCCTTTGCTATCTTTCCATTCTACGTGTTTTACTCTTCGAAGGGAGCTCTCTTTCTCTCTCTCTCTCTCTCTCTCTCTCCTCTCTCTTCCCTACCCGTTCACTCTCTTTCACTTTCTTACTGTCTCACTCTTCATTTCTTTCTCTCTCTTTTCCCTCACTGTCACTCTCTTATCTCTCACTCTTTTCCATTTCTCTCTCTCTTTTCAATATACTCTTACCCAACTTTCATTCTCTTTTCTCTCTCCATTCACTTCCTCTCTCTCCCTTACTTTCTTAACCCTATCCCTTCCACTTATCTCTCTCTCTCTCTATCCTCTCTTTTTCCGTTTTCCCTTCTTCTCTACCACTTTCTTCTACTTCCCTTCTCTGATTTACACTCTCTATTTCCTCATCCTCTTCAAGCCTTTCTTCCTCCTTCTCTCTCTCTCTCTCTCTCTGTCTCTCTCTACCACGTCTCACTTTCTCATTTTCTTTCTACCTCTCTCTTTCCAGTATTAAACTCTCTCTCTCCGTTCAACTCCCTCTCTCTCTCTCTTCGTTCAACTCTCTCCTTTACTCTGGTTTTCCTTATCGCCTTCCTCCTCTCTCACTCTATTTCCTTCCATTCTCTCTTTCTCTCTCTGGTTTTATCTCTTTTTTATCGCTGTGTATAAACCTTTTAAATTCTGTAGATTTGCTGTGTTTCGCATTTAACAATCAGAAACGATTCTGAGACCATTTGAACAAAGAATTATGTTTCTCCCTCTCTCTCCCTCCCCGCCCCCATCCCTCTGCAAATAATAAAAAAAAGAAATTGGTCGTCTCGGTTAGCGAACTACAGACCCCGTCTGTCGCGCCATCTTGTTGATACCTGGATATGATAATGAAGAGAGAGAGAGAGAGAGAGAGAGAGAGAGAGATGGATAAATTAACAGCGCCTACGACTAACGACATAACAGGGATGCCATTTTTTTTTATCCCCATCCCGCTCTCTTCCTTTCTTTATCAGGTCACGGTAGTTCGCCCATTTTCTCCTCAGTAAATGATAAATTGACCTCTCTCCCAAATAAACTCTGTCCAAACGGTTAGTTATTTGGACGTATGTTCTTGAATCGTTAGTACGTATATAGACTTCTCCGACATGTATAAATATGTGTGTGCATTTGTACTAAAGCGCATAATCCCTCATACACAAATATCTATATGTTTACGTGAGAGTGTATATGCGTGCACACACACACAAAGACGCACGCACACACACACACACCTAGCATACACATGTATATAGTTACTAATACTGACAGAAGGCCAATTTAGTGGAGCGCCGATTGTCTCAATATTTTATATAGATGCAACTTGCTAGCCAATGTAAGAAAATAGGCACGGTGGAGATGGATAGTGGCTCGGATTGAGGAATCGGAGAGCCGAGTTCGAATTCCAGTCGAATCCATTACATTCACTTACGAACCTTCCTCTAATCCCTCAGCTATGGATAAATAGGGTTTTATAGCCTTGGATGGCAACTGGTCTACCGTAGAAAGAAATGGCAACCTACTGTAGGAAAAAATCTGCCTCATCAGTTATGTATCGAAAGATACATGATCGCCTAAGCGTGTATCACGTATAACGCATTGACTGACTGACTGCTATGCACTTGGGTGTATACACTTTCTGCACGCATTTGAATGAATTTGTGTCGAATCCACGCGGGAAGGATATGTAAAATGCCGTTTGGGGAACTGAGTGAATTGTGTTCGAATTCCGGCTACATCTGCTTATGTTCACTTCGCATTTAGGAAAGGCATGAACCTCCTCTCTCCACGCTCTGTCCCATTAGAAATACTGTCACAGGAATTCTGTGATTAATGATAAGGGAAAGAGTTTAGTCAGTCAGATTTTCTTGTTAGCGCGTATTCTAGAACCATTTGCTCGAAATGTAATGGTAATGGTAATATTAGCCGTTTCCTTATAAGGAAACATTCGACATTCATTGACCGAGCAGCCAGTGCTACTAAAGCTACACTTTTCTTCACTCCCTGATCATCGGGCTGGGATCAAAGTGTAGTATCTGTTCTCCTCATCTCTAATGGTATTGGTAATATTAGCCATTTCCTTATAAGGAAACATTCGACATTTACTGACCAAGTAGCCAGTACTGCTGTCGATTAAAATCGATAAAATCTTTATCTTAAAATATTTTTTCAGGAAAACAGGTTTCTCACATCCAGTAGCTTTTATCGCTCTTTCCAATATTGATGGGGGAGGGGATCCTTCATAACCATTTTATTTAAAGTATTGTGGAAGGTTATCTTGATTATGTTTTTATTTTCTTTTGGAGTTATATGCGATTTCCACTTAAGCTTTTGCTGCTGTTAAAATTCATTAAGTAATGTAGTTTTTTGTTATTTAGTACAGTTCTTTATTTGTGATTTTGTAGCGCCAGTCCAGAAGATTCGAAGAAGTGTAGTATTCGCAAAGATCCATAGGCTTCACTCGCTCAAAGCCATTTGTAACCCCTGATCTGAAAAGAGGTTGCATACATGTTGCGCCAAGCATTCATTTCCATTTGAAAGTCTCGAAATGACGAGATTATTTAAGATCATGACTCGAGTTTCAGGTTAATGTTTTGGTTTTATAGCAATTTTCGCAATTTGCTTCAAAGTGCAGCCTATTCTATGTTCAATTACCTCATCACAGATCCATACACCAAAGTATCTGAAGTGTTTAGTACTTACTAGATCCATATTTCTATTTCTATGATGGAATCAGGGTGAGTACCTTTACTGCCTTCAATTAAATTACAGATCATAGTTTATCTTGAATCTTCTCACTTGTTATATTTGGTAGTACATGTTGATTTTCTGTTCGAGATCATTCTTAGCCTAATTATGAATACCTATGTCATCAGCATAGACCCCCCCTCCTCTTCATCAGTACATTGACCTCGGGGGGGGAAAGCATGATTGTTTTCTGCTTTTAGTAGATTCTTTTGTGCTGTCGTATGGGATGCTTAAATGATCAGTGTCCATCTCTACTCATCTGTGCTTGTATATGCGTAAGACATAGTCTAGGAAGAGATTAAATAAACTGTGGCTCTAATTTCTTTCTTGTCGTATTCCGAATGAGGTTTGAAATGTTTCAGTATTGGAGTCCTCGCCAGGCATGTAAGATTTTGTAGACCGATAAAATTCTTCTATTAGATCTATGCATTCCGAGGATTCGGGGCTTGGAAGGTTGTTTCTAATGAATGAGAAGAGGAAGTCTCTATTGAAGGTGTCATATGTTGCAGTGAAACCGGTAGAGAATGTATACAATTTCCTATTAGAGAGGTAAACAATTTCCTGTGGGTGTTTCATGACATATATGTAAGCATTGAATCCCTTACCAGAACGAAAACTGGGTCGTGAGGAGTTGACTTTCATAAAACGATGAGAGCCTCGTTAATATAATGCTCATTAATTTTTTCACTATAATGGATCCAGTTAAGCTACATCAGTATGAGGGTCTTGACGGATAACTTTTATTTCCATAGGTCATTAATGTGGGATAAAACTTACTTTTAGGGGATGCATTTCTGACCTCTCATTAAATAGAGAAATTTGTTACTGAACTTGGGGAGAAAGTAAGCTATTTTCAAAAGTCCAAACTCAATGTCATGTGATGCTTTAGTATTCCTTAAATTTTTTAATAGCTTTCTTCATTTTCTGATCAGTAGGTTCATTATTGCTTAAGTTTAGGGGCGGAATTTGTAATAATTGGTTGTATATTGGTATATGTTCTATTTTGTGGGCATTTTTAGTATAGTGTGGTCAGGGTAGAAATTTGATTCAAATTATTTTGAGAACAGGACATTTCCCCTGCCTTGATTTTGATTGTATCATGTTATTGTTATTTTTCGTTTTTTTTTTTTTTCGTCTATGCTGATTGGCTTCATTAATTTCGTTTCCAATCTCCAGAGATACTTGTTTCTCAAAGAATTCACTAGTATTCTTTGTTATCTAGTATTTTCCTTTCCATTTTTTCTTCTTCTATTTGTTTGTTTCAATTTTTCAACTTAGGATTATTGTCCTATTGATATATCTTTTTCCTTCTCGGTATTCTTGCAATGGTCTCATACTCTTCAGCTAATGAAGATATGATAACATTATCTGATTCCTTTCTGTTGTTTTGATCAAGATTTACTGACATCAATTTGAATTTTAGTTTATTACTGAATTCTACATTTACTCTTTCGTTTTTAAGGGTTTAGATGTTATACCTCGGTATTTTTTGTGATTTAAGTGGGTGGACGGAAGCTTTTTTGTTGACTGGTGTTGTCAGTTTAGTTACAAGTAGCATGTGATCAGATTCAACGTAGGACTCGTATCCTAAAAGAATATTTTTCTGGGAAGCCCAACTCTCTAAATATATGAATAGAGGAAAAAAAGCAAGGATTCGAAAGTGGGAAACACATCAAAAGTTGATATTCTTGTTTAAAAATTAAAACAAGAATTGCCATTCTTTCTGTATTTTTTCTTTTTCATCTGGCATTATTTAAATGACCATTAAATAAACATTCCAATCAAAATTTGAAGGATGTGATTCATTCGATCAGACAGATGATTGCCAAGGTTAATTCTTCGTTCGAGATTGTTAAGCGAATTCTCCCATTTCGTTTTCTTTATTTCAAAATCTATTTAACATTTTCCGTCTCAATGTGAAAGTGACTGAGAAATACATAAAATGCTTGTATTTAATGCGCTCCGATTTCAAGAAGAAAATCTTATCATTCAGTCATTCGTACAATTTGGTGAGATTTACTTTACTCGCTTTAGTTTAGAACGACCTCAAAGGCAGGGAAGAAGATTATATTAAAAAATAGAAAAGGATTGCCTAGAAAATCCGCCTTCGAAATTCTGCCATTTAGCTTCGAACCCCGATTTTTCAGATCGATGGAAAATCTGTCATTATTTCTGGCACGTATCAAACTACACTATACTAAAGATTTATTGCTTTTAATGTTAAATTTGATTCTATTTGGGGATGAAAATGGGTGAATTTCAAAATCATTGATTGCAAGTCGAAAATCCGCTTTTGTTAAGTGACTATAGAAGTTACAGTTTTTGTTTTGCATGTTTGTTGTAACTCGACAGTATACGTCACTCCTTGTTTTGGGGGAAAAGGCTTTCAGAATCTTGATGATATGTTCAGCATCGCCCTCAATCTCTATCTCTATCAAACATTGTTATACATAAAGAATCATGGGAATTATTACTCATGATGACTGTATATTGGAATATGATGAAAAGGGTTGGGGGAGTGATCAGAAGAAATAGGAGACAGAAAGTGAGGAAGAGGAAGATGATGAAGAGGAGGCAGAAATGGATTATGACGATGAGAAATGAAAAGAGAAAGAAAGAGTGAGAACGTGAAGATGATGAATACAAGAGGTGGAGGAAATTGAGGATGAAGAGAAGTGACGAGGAAGAAGTGGAGAGGAAGCAGAAAGAGGACGACGACGACGACGACGACGACGACGACGACGAAATGATGATGATGATGATGATGATGATGATGATGATGATGATGATGATGATGATGATGATGATCGAGGAATTTTATATCGGTTGCGTTGTCTGGTTACCAGATAAATAGAGCATGTCAACTGATAGTGAATTGTTGGCAATGTGGTGTC